TCGCTCATATTTCCACGCGATATCGCGCTATGTAGCTTCTCCAATCCATTTCAATGGAGCCGTTCACATCTCGTCGCTCAATATCGCTCGTCGCTCCCACACGACCCTTTTTTCTGCGGATTTCGAGCGATTTTTGCTCCTGATTGCATACAGCCCAATAGGAAAAAGGAAAAAGTCGCGCAATATCGCACATTTAAAACCGCGCGATTTTCATGTCGCTCAGTGTGAATGGGGCCTTACACTGCACCCTCCAATTACACTGCACCCCTCATATTACACTGCATCCCTCCATAGCCCCTCATATTACACTGTACCCCTCCATAGCACCCCATATTACACTGCACCCCTCCATAGCCCCTCATATTACACTGCACCCCTCCATATTACACTGTACCCCTCCATAGCCCCTCATATTACACTGCACCCCTCCATAGTCCCTCATATTACACTGCATCCCTCCATAGCCCTTCATATTACACTGCATCCTTCCATAGCCCCTCACATTACACTGCGCCCCCTATATTACACTGCACCCCTCCATAGCACCCCATATTACACTGCGCCCCCTATATTACACTGCACCACTCCATAGACCCTCATATTACACTGCATCCCTCCATAGCCCTTCATATTACACTGCATCCCTCCATAGCCCCTCATATTACACTGCATCCCTCCATAGCCCTTCATATTACACTGCATCCCTCCATAGCCCCTCACATTACACTGCGCCCCCTATATTACACTGCACCCCTCCATAGCACCCCATATTACACTGCGCCCCCTATATTACACTGCACCACTCCATAGACCCTCATATTACACTGCGCCCCCTATATTACACTGTACCCCTCCATAGCACCCCATATTACACTGCACCCCTCCATAGCCCCTCATATTACACTGCGCCCCTCCATAGCCCCTCATATTACACTGCACCCCTCCATAGCCCCTCATATTACACCGCGCCCCTCCATAGCCCCTCATATTACACCGCGCCCCTCATATTACACTGCATCCCTCCATAGCCCCTCATATTACACTGCATCCCTCCATAGCCCCTCATATTACACTGCGCCCCCTATATTACACTGCACCCCTCCATAGCACCCCATATTACACTGCACCCCCTATATTACACTGTACCCCTCCATAGCCCCTCATATTACACTGCACCCCTCCATAGCCCCTCATATTACACTGCACCCCTCATATTACACTGCACCCGCTATATTACACTGTACCCCACCATAGCCCCTCATATTACACTGTGACCCTCCATAGCCCTTCATATTACACTGCATCCCTCCATAGCCCCTCACATTACACTGCGCCCCCTATATTACACTGCACCCCTCCATAGCACCCCATATTACACTGCGCCCCCTATATTACACTGCACCCCTCCATAGCACCCCATATTACACTGCACCCCTCCATAGCCCCTCATATTACACTGCACCCCTCCATAGCCCTTCATATTACACTGCACCCCTCCATAGCCCCTCATATTACACTGCACCCCTCCATATTACACAGCCCCTCCCCCTCTGTAGTTGGTAAACCGCGAACCAGCACGGAGGGCGGGAGGATTAATCTGTGGGCGTATCTTCTTGTCGTTGTGGAGATCAGCTGTGGGCGGTGCCAGTGTCTGCTGGCGGTTTTGGGCGGTGCGTAGCGGTGGGCGGGACGCGTGGAGCAGTGTGGGAGGAAGGCCGTCGCCGCCATTTTGTCGGTCGGTTGGTGAGCTGGGAGCTCCAGTGTAACCATGTTATCTGCCGCGCAGCTACTGGACGAGCTTATGGGCCGGGACCGGAACCTGGCACCGGATGAGAAGAGAAGCAACGTGCGCTGGGATGACGAAAACGTAAGTCTCTGCGGCGGCCCCGGGGGCCTGCTCGAGTCACGTGACCCACTTACAGGCAAATGGATGTAATGTGAACGGTCCCCTCTGTGCCGTGCGACCCGGGCCTGACCACATCATGTGACCGGCAGCCTGGCCGCCCTGTGCCTCGCCGCTGATGTGTGTGTGTGGGGGGGAAGATCTAATATCTGTGTGCGGGGAGGAGAGGGTTAATTTAAGTCAGTCTGTGTATGAGGGATGACATGAGGATCACCATGGTTGTAAGAGCCCCGCCCCTTTGTGGAGGGAGGCGTTTAGCGCCGCCTCTCTTTATTAGCTGTGTTTGGGGGGTGTTGAGGCTCCTCCCACTTTATTGTCCCCTTAGCAGATGTGACTTTATAATGGGGTTGCCAGGACTCCTCCCCTTCCGGTGCTTTCCACTATGTACCGCCCCCACTCGTGTACAGGGAGGGGTTGTGGGTACCATGGGGCGCTCTATATACAGAGGGGGGGATTTTCTGTGTGCTCTGTATACAGAGGGGTGCACGGCGTGGACAGTATTTGGGGGTCTCTCGTGTACTATACAGGTGAAACTCGAATAATTAGAATATGGTGCAAAGTTCATTTATTTCACTAATGCAACTTATGCGGTGAAACTAATATATGAGAGAGACTCATGACATGCAAAGCAAGATAGTTCAAGCCGTGATTTGTCATCATTGTGATGATTATGGCTTACAGCTCATGAAATCCCCAAGAACCCCAAATCCACAACCTCAGAAAAGTAGATTATTACATGCAATCAATAACACAAGGATTGTACATAGAACAATATCGGACCTCTGAGAAGTACAAGCATGCATATGTACTCAGTACTTGGTTTGGGCCCCTTTTGCAGCACTTACTGCAATTACTTTTGCACGATATTCTAATTATTCGAGTTTCACCTGTATATACAGAGACTCCATAGCCCCTCATATTACACTGCGCCCCTCCATAGCCCCTCATATTACACTGCACCCCTCCATAGCCCCTCATATTACACCGCGCCCCTCCATAGCACCTCATATTACACCGCGCCCCTCATATTACACTGCATCCCTCAATCACACAATACACTGCATCCCTCCATAGCCCCTCATATTACACTGCGCCCCCTATATTACACTGCACCCCTCCATAGCACCCCATATTACACTGCACCCCCTATATTACACTGTACCCCTCCATAGCCCCTCATATTACACTGCACCCCTCCATAGCCCCTCATATTACACTGCACCCCTCATATTACACTGCACCCGCTATATTACACTGTACCCCACCATAGCCCCTCATATTACACTGTGACCCTCCATAGCCCTTCATATTACACTGCATCCCTCCATAGCCCCTCACATTACACTGCGCCCCCTATATTACACTGCACCCCTCCATAGCACCCCATATTACACTGCGCCCCCTATATTACACTGCACCCCTCCATAGCACCCCATATTACACTGCACCCCTCCATAGCCCCTCATATTACACTGCACCCCTCCATAGCCCTTCATATTACACTGCACCCCTCCATAGCCCCTCATATTACACTGCACCCCTCCATATTACACAGCCCCTCCCCCTCTGTAGTTGGTAAACCGCGAACCAGCACGGAGGGCGGGAGGATTAATCTGTGGGCGTATCTTCTTGTCGTTGTGGAGATCAGCTGTGGGCGGTGCCAGTGTCTGCTGGCGGTTTTGGGCGGTGCGTAGCGGTGGGCGGGACGCGTGGAGCAGTGTGGGAGGAAGGCCGTCGCCGCCATTTTGTCGGTCGGTTGGTGAGCTGGGAGCTCCAGTGTAACCATGTTATCTGCCGCGCAGCTACTGGACGAGCTTATGGGCCGGGACCGGAACCTGGCACCGGATGAGAAGAGAAGCAACGTGCGCTGGGATGACGAAAACGTAAGTCTCTGCGGCGGCCCCGGGGGCCTGCTCGAGTCACGTGACCCACTTACAGGCAAATGGATGTAATGTGAACGGTCCCCTCTGTGCCGTGCGACCCGGGCCTGACCACATCATGTGACCGGCAGCCTGGCCGCCCTGTGCCTCGCCGCTGATGTGTGTGTGTGGGGGGGAAGATCTAATATCTGTGTGCGGGGAGGAGAGGGTTAATTTAAGTCAGTCTGTGTATGAGGGATGACATGAGGATCACCATGGTTGTAAGAGCCCCGCCCCTTTGTGGAGGGAGGCGTTTAGCGCCGCCTCTCTTTATTAGCTGTGTTTGGGGGGTGTTGAGGCTCCTCCCACTTTATTGTCCCCTTAGCAGATGTGACTTTATAATGGGGTTGCCAGGACTCCTCCCCTTCCGGTGCTTTCCACTATGTACCGCCCCCACTCGTGTACAGGGAGGGGTTGTGGGTACCATGGGGCGCTCTATATACAGAGGGGGGGATTTTCTGTGTGCTCTGTATACAGAGGGGTGCACGGCGTGGACAGTATTTGGGGGTCTCTCGTGTACTATACAGGTGAAACTCGAATAATTAGAATATGGTGCAAAGTTCATTTATTTCACTAATGCAACTTATGCGGTGAAACTAATATATGAGAGAGACTCATGACATGCAAAGCAAGATAGTTCAAGCCGTGATTTGTCATCATTGTGATGATTATGGCTTACAGCTCATGAAATCCCCAAGAACCCCAAATCCACAACCTCAAAAAAGTAGATTATTACATGCAATCAATAAAACAAGGATTGTACATAGAACAATATCGGACCTCTGAGAAGTACAAGCATGCATATGTACTCAGTACTTGGTTTGGGCCCCTTTTGCAGCACTTACTGCAATTACTTTTGCACGATATTCTAATTATTCGAGTTTCACCTGTATATACAGAGGGGTGCACGGCGTGGACAGTATTTGGGGGTCTCTTGTGTACTATATATATACAGAGGGGTGCATGGTGGGGGGCTCCTGTGTCATATATATATATATATATTACACACAGATTGGTGCACAGGAGGGGCACGCTGTCATTGGCTGTCCTGGCTCTTCAGTCACCGGCAACAGCCAATCACGTCTCGGATAACAGAGGAATGGAGATTTTGCTCTTTCCGATGCCACATTGTAGCATGAAGGGAACACTTTGTATCAGGTGTCAGCGTCACACGAAGATCAGGACATTGGGGGGATTGATCACATCCGGAGCAGCTGTGGGCGGCGACCAATCAGCTTCCAGCTTTCATTTTCAATTCTTAACTGAAGAGAGAGGCTGATTGGTTGTCGTGGACAACTGCTCCGGATGTGATAAATCCCCCCCCATTGTTGTCACCTGGACATTGATGATTGCTCAGTGAACGCAGGTGGACCCGCCGGGAGGAATATTTTTAGGATTAATCTCCATATAATGAATATTCTCTATTCTTTCCTCATGGGGGGGAGAGGATCACCTTCAGATCAAACAGTGACAACAGCTCGGCTCCCCGTACTCAGCGGACGCGCAGCGGTGTCACCCCCCTCCCGATGTAGACAGAAGACTTCTGCGCTGTGTTTACATTGTCTTCTGTGGAAACATCGGAAGTCCAGGAGATGATCCCTCCGCTCCGTAGCTTAGTGTCGGGCCCCTGCTGTCACAGTACCGGCAGGGGCCCG